CTGACATACAGGACATCCACTATTTTGAGGATTACCTTAAAAAGTGAATGATCAGATCTTGCTGTGAGCTTTGCTGTGAGCCATACAATAGGTTTTTGAAGGCTATTCTAGCTCCCAAGTTCTTTGTCGAGTTAAAGACCATATTTTAGCTCTTCAGTGATGCTGCATGTGAATGTTTTTCAAACGTGTTGGATTCCCTGAGCAGGCTGTGTTGTGAGTGTCTTGAGTTGCAGCTACCTAGAGGGTGGCCTTTCTCATCACCTGATGTAGGCTTAGTGATGTAGCAGTCATGGCTATCTTGTTTGGATTCAAGGTTATTATACATTTGAGGGAAGAAATGTGATAATCTGCTTTCACTGCCCAATATCTCTGCTGGTGCTTATTTTGATTTTCCAGGATCATACTCCTAGCCAGCGTGCCTACAGCTAACTTGTATAAACACTGCAGAATGCCTGCAACTGTCTTGGTCAGGTGCAGGTTCCCGTGAGATGAGGCTTCGCTCTTTCTGAATCACAAATCTGCAAGGGCTGTGAATTTGGGATGTACACACTGACCTTTCAACCAGAACCTCACTGCTCTGTGCTTCTTGTTGGAATGAAATCAGGAAATCTTCAGTATTAATGAATCTAAATTGGGCAGCAGTCGAGTGTTGCAGAGATCCAACTTCTGATGGCTAATAATTTCAAAAAGAAATCAAATACCCTGAATGTAATTTTATCCTGAGAACTCATGTTCCCAGCAAAACTGGGGGGAGGAAGGCAGGGTTGAGATATTACATGCAAATAGGCTTTCCAGATAATGGACTTTTAAAAGAATCGTCTAAAAAGCGCATACATTTTGTGAGACTGTCTAGGTGAAAAGAGCATTGTATTTGCTGTCTTTATACTCATGGCATGGTTTAATCTTATCTAACTGATGGGCGTTATTTATCAGAGTATTGACTATTGTATTCGAGGTGTCCATACGAACTATGCGGGTATGATAAGCTTTTTAGTAAATGGCGGGAGACCTCTGTGCTTTTATGTTCAGGACTACATCTTCTCATTATCCCGACTTTTCTCTTACTGTCAATGTTATTACTCCTGGTTCTCAGTTTACCCTTTAGAAGTGTCTTCCCTAATAACTATTTTATTGTTTAAAATGGCCAGAAGCTAAAATATTACACTATAGTGGAATAATAAATAATGTATATCACTATGAGTAAATGGACTCTTAAGTAGAAACCTGAGCCCCATGACTAATGTGAAAAGTTTTTTTTAATACTTCCATAATATGAGTTTGATCTTCTTACAAAAGTATGCTTGTTCGATTTTCTTTCAGTTTGGGCCTGTTCTGAGGTTGAAGGTCAAAACATCAACCACATCAAAATGAAGCACATTAGTTCCTATGTCTGCATTTCCCTCTAAACCAATTAAGTTACATTTCTGGCCAACATTTAAAAGTCCTTCAAGCTCTCTGAGCTAAATGTGAAATAAGAATGCCGAGAATGGCATCACTGCTTCACGTCCATATCTGTGCATGCTACTCAAAATGAGACATGGCCGAGCTTGGAGCAGGCACCACCTTGTGGTTCTTGGATGTTCATTATTCGGAAATGACTTTCTCCTTACAGGCTACTGAAGTGGGGTGGGGGGGTGGGGGTGGGGGGGGGAGAGCATTTTTTTTTTTCTGGTTAAAACAAACAAATGAAGGAAAAAAACACTGCCTAAGCAACATATAGGAAAGTGAGAGAAGATCTAGAGTTGACAATTTAAGTTAACAAATAAATTTCCCATAAGAAAATTTTTTTCTAATCATTTTATTAGGGGCTCATACAACTCTTATCACAATCCATACATACATCAATTGTGTAAAGCG